CTGTATTCTTACTGCAAGACTGCTGCTGGTCATGTTGAACTCCTTGTCAATGGCTTCCATCTCCTTTCTTAGGATGTCAACCTGCTTGATGGTGAATGGTTCGAAAAGGTCCTCCAAAAGGTACACCTCGTTGTCAAGTGGTTTCACCTGCAAGTGTCGTAGGAGGATATGCGCGAGATCCTGACAGAACTGGTAAGGATACACCTGTGCCAGTTTAGTCCTGCTTCCGAAAGTACCAGCGTTTCCCTCTAGGGTTTGATGTTCATGCTTGACTGAGCTGGAGAAATTTTTACACCGTCGGAAGATCGGTCTCATTACCTCGGGAGGTAAGCAGTGCATCAGGATCGTGGGCTTGAGACTTCTGAGCCCGGATTCAGGATCTTTCAGCCCGTATGCACAGAAATGGAAATCTCCCCCGGTCACGGATGGATCTGAAAACAATTGTTGCATGCATTTCAGATACCATATCCTGGATGTCTGAGGATTTTCAATGATGAAGTATCTTCTGTGCTCCAACTGATATCGCGCAATGGATGCCACAAATTCAACCATGGGAAGGTAGCGTCTCCGCTTTTCCCCGACCTTTTGTTGGTCTTGTTGGATGTTCTGCATATTTGACCATGGTCCACAGACCGGTGCCATTAGGATGACATCAGGTGCTTGTTCCCTGATGATCTCCATGACCATGTGTCGTCCCTTGGATGTCATTACGTCGAATCCGGTGCGGATATCTACGGGAGTCCCAACCTTAAGACCTGAGAGTGCGCAGCATTGACTGAATCTGGCACTTCCTACAAAGATCTCGAGAACAATTCCAATGTGCTTGTTCAGGAACGGATGTGAGGTCCTCGACGAACATGTTCTCTGCCGGATGAGGCTCTGCAGGTTTGGGAGTTGTCTTTCCTGCGATACGAGTGGCACTGAGGATCTTGGCTTAGGAGCTGGTACGGATGACTCCTTTTTCTTGGCGTCTGCAGAGGAGCCGGGTTGCTCCTTCTGCAAGGATTCTCGCTCTTCTGGCAATAGAAGATCAAATTCAAGTTTCCCCGGAGGGATGGTTTCATCCTTCCTGACCTTCGTCATGTTAACCTTGATGAGTCGAGTCCCAAGATCAAGTCCTACCATTGCTCCTTCAATGGAAATGACCTTTCCTTTCAGCCATATTCCTCCCTTGCTTCCATCGGAACGGATCTTGGATGTGTCTTCCTGCCAGTAAAATACCTTGCCCTTCACCTGAAGAGGCTTAGAATTCATTCGGAGATTTTGCGCAAGGTCTCGTCGGATGTCTTCGGATTGACGCGCTTCTTGGAATGCTTGCTTGGACAGCTGCTTGATCTGCATGGCTGTCAGCTCTTCTTCATTCCTGTCAATCGTCACCTGGGTTGGTGTTGCGACATCGAGTTGGATGAGACCTGCTGGTCGTCTTCCGAATGCGAGCTCCAATGGTGTTACACCCCCGTAGGTGACAGTCTGATTCCTGACAGTTGCAGCGGCCTTCACCAGCTGTCTGTATGTCACTTTCTTCAGTGTTGCAGGTGCTGTTCCTGCCGTGGTGGAACTTAGCATGATCTTGAGTTGTGCCTTCAGGAGTCGAACTGCTGCTTCAGCTCGATTTGGCCATGGTGTATTCGGTCCCAAGGATATCGGTGTGATGTCAAGGGACTGATAGAAATGTTCCCATGTCTCTGTCATGAAGGCTTGATCTGCGACAACTGATTTGGGCTGCAAGTGGTACTGGTCAAAATAGTTCCTGAGGACAGTGATGTTCTCGACTTCTTGCGTAGTTGTCACTGCCTCTGCAGTGAGCAATGTTGTTGCTCCATCCAGGATGACAAAAACAATGATGTGTTCTCCTGTTCCAAGAGGAACTTGACAGTGATCAATGAATGTCATGTCACCAAAGGTGTCCGCTCGAAGTCCACTCGTCTTGCTTCGTGATGGTGCATGTTTTGCCGCTTGGCAAACTTAAGATTCACTTCGGATTTTGTCAAATAGATCGAATGTTGATTTCGGCAAATGAAGTGCGCGAGTTCTAAATCGAAATTGATCTGTTGTCATATGATGATGCTGGAGGTGGAGCTTCTTCAACTCTTCGGGATTTGACAATCGCTTGTGGATTCTGCCTAAGGCAAGCGGAAGCGATGTTGGTTCTTCTGAGGATGGTGCGAAAGGATCTGGCTCAATGGTCGACCGGCCCTTCTTGTCGATGATCCTGTCTGCTGCCGATCCTGAACCTGCTTCTTCGTCCTTAAGCGAATTGTCCACAAAGGTGAAAATGGTCTTACCTATCCACAGGTTAATCATTGGTTTATTTGCCTGGGATGTAAGTCTCCAATTGTCTTCCAGGATGTCTGGATCTCCACCTACGGATGCATCAATGATTTCCGCAGTACGCTCTCGGCTAATGTTATCAGGATTGATTGGACACTCCTTGGCTCCATTTCGTGTGAACAGCGCCTTTCGGGGCGTGATGTGCACACGGATGAGCTGCTTGTTCTTCTTGTCAAGGATCCAATGGTCCTGCTTTTGAGACCCAATGATCTTAGGAGTTGCTAGGCCCTCCTTTGTCTCGGATGATTTTGCTGAAAAAAAAGTTTTTGATTGTTGGTGAGATCCCCGGAGGGAAACTTGATGCTGTTGTCATCATCATCGACATAGTTAGTGAGGCCTTTGTGAGCAATTTCTCCATGCGCCTTCACTCTTGCAACTCCAGCGAGGTCGACGAGTGCATGTCCTGTACCGGATACTGGAACTGCTTGACGGTTCATGCCAAAAGCCTTGCATGTGACCTTGTCACATTGAGGTATGTGCTCGATGGTCATGTAAAGGTTCCGCATCTGACTGATGCTGAGGAGGATCGGTACAGTTCCTTGTTCAAGGACGTTGATGTTGGTACTGCATGGAGGGATTGCATGCCAGCTGCCCATAGATCTGGTACATCCATTGTCCAGAATCGCATAGGTTGGATTGTGCTGAGGGTTGATGGCAGGCGCCATCAGCTTTGTTGCCTGAAGGCTATGATTTGTTGTGACGGACAGATTGCGTTCTGAAACTGTATCTGATTGGATCAGCTTCCCGTGGATGGCCTTTTTCTCATGATGCTCATATGCATCATGGAATGCCATTAGTGCTTGTCCTGTGCTGGATGTCTCATGGGATGAGTACCAGCCATGTTCGTTCCATGTCCATGATTGATCCCAGTCTTGGTCTGTCCAACCGGCATAGGTAGGCTCTGTGGATGGCGCAGTCTGCTGGATGGCGGGCTGCTCCTCCGTCTTCTCTGCGGTGGCTGCGAACGTCTTGGATTTCCCTTTTTTCATGGCCGCTCTTTCCTTTGCCATTCTCATAGGATGGATAACCTTTGTTTCCATCATAGGGATATTGGAATTTTGATTTTCCTTTCTTTCCCTTCTTTCCTTTCCCTTTTCCCCAATATGCCTGGTCGTAGGGATCATAGTTTTCGTTGGCCATATTGGCCTTTCCGCCAGAACCGCTTTTTCTGAAGGGTTTAAAGCCACCTCGTTGGTGACTGCCCTTTTTGTTTCCTGATTTTCCTTTTCCTTTGTTCGTCTTGAATTTGAAGTTCCGCCCCGACACTTTTCTTGCTATGAACGCATCGTTCTCCTCGAGGACCCAGAATGTCTCTTCATCGTTGTTTGACATGAATCCTTCAAGTCCTTCTTCATCCTCAACCCAGAAGCCTTCTTCTCCTTCAAATTCACCTTGTTCGATGATGAAGAATGTGTTGCTTCGGTTGCCTCCTTGAGGTCGGATGGATGGATCTTGAATGGATGTCCTGGTTGTGATGAAGAGTTCATGGTAGTGTGTCTTCAGCATCTCATAGGAGTAGTTCTCTAGTGAGATGTTTCTCAATGACATTGCACTTGTCAGTCTCTCTCTTTGTTGATCTGACAATTCACTCTGAATGATGAAAAACTGTGCAATGAGATTATCCCCGAAGGGAAATGCGTCCCGCTGTCTGTCCTGCATTCCTGTGATGTATTGTTTGAGGACTGTTGGATCATCCTCATTGAGCAGGGCTGGAGGCGGTGCTCGAACACCGGCTGCTTGTGATGTCGAGCAATTGTTCTTGCATTTGCGTCCTGTACGGACTGTCGAAATGATGGGGACCTTCGATGATTGAAGAAACTGAGGAGCCTGTACAGATACACGTTGGTCGCACCTTTCAAAAAGTACTTCTTCAGCCTGTTCTTGAAGTAGTTGACTCCTTCGTCAGGATCTTGCAGAAGGTCATTTTGGAGGACTGCCTTTTACATATATGCATTTTGTGTGAGTCTGCGTTTGAGCAGAGGTCCTCTCTTGGGTGCTTCCACTGTTGTCATTGTCACCCAGTCGTCCACGAGTTCTTCATACCTGAGCCAGCTGACTTTTCCGTCGTACGATGGCGGCTGCTTGGCGGTCATCGATAAATTGAGTGTTTCCTCCGTATAGCCTTGTGATTTGGCCATACTTGAATAGGCTTCCATGAAGCCTTCTCCATCGGATGACATCTTCCCTTGGATCTCTGCGGAAAACCTGCTCCGCTACAAATTGAGGCCCACTGCCGGGGACCTATCCCAGAAGGGAACTGGCACCCTTGCGGTAGTGAGGTCGTTGTTTAGGTCCCTGGATCTATTCCGGAGAGAATCCAATATGCCACTATGGATGATTGGAGGATGGATTGTCCTGGTGGGTTGTATCGTGGGTTCTATGATGTTCCACGTAAATGAGTGATTCTGATGTCTCAGGGGAGCACGGGAGGGCAGGGCCCGTCAAAGGATGCCAGCTAAAACCCGGTGAAAAATCACAGATGCCACTTGATTTTAGGACATGGCGCCTTGTACGACAGTTTGTTGCATGAATCCTTTGTGAGCACGGAAGTCTACTGAAGGTCCGTGTTACTGGAACATGCTTTTCCAGGGGCCTCCCATCAGTTTCTATCTTATTGGGGGAGGCTTCGGTTAGAATCCCCCCCCCCCGCCCTGCAGACCCGTCGCGAGGAGAAGTTGGAGGGACTGCTGCAGGCCGATTCCACGCCCCGGCCTTGGATGGCTTCCCGCACGCATGTCCGGCCACAAACAAGTGGTTCTGTTCAGCTGAAACGCTGTTTTTTCTCCATCCACTTGTTCAATGGCTGAACAAGAGCCACAGCCTAATCGTGTCCATGGGCTGTTTTACTCTGCAATTGTTCTGAGGCTACCGGGAATGTACTCGTAATACTTCGTTGGTTGTGGGGGTGGTCCAGCCGCAAGTAGGTTGTGGTTCGTGTACTTGCAACGGTTTGTGTGTGTGTGTTGTTTTTGTTGAAGCGCGATCGAACGGCTGTTAAAGTTATTATGTTTTCTTTTTGAAATACCAACTCAAGCATGTTGTTGTTTCCCCCTATTATTTGTTTTTTTCTTGTGTCCGTATGTGTTGATGTCTCAGGTGTTATTACAAGTTGCATGGCTTCTTTGGTTGGTTTTTTGGTTTTGGGGTAGTTCCTTCGCACAGCTTCAGACTGAGTGGTTTGGGTTTTGTTTTTGCGGGGGGCGGAGGGGGGGGGGCGGGCCTCCTGTCGGCTGGAGCGAGCTGAGGCCCAAGGAGATGGGACCCGTGAGCCAGGTGGTGCAGAAACGCGCCTCGCAGGTCATTGCCGCAGCCTCGGGTTCCTGGCCACGTTCCTGGCCTTCCCTCCCCCCCCCCTCCCCATAGTTCTCTTGACTTGATGTTTGGAGGGAAACCCCTTGGAAGTCAGCCAGCCCCAAAAGTGTCAAAAAATGACTTGGCACCCTTTGATTTGGTCACGTTTGCTGGGCTTCGCTGCAAAAAACCGATCAAGCCCACCAACGAACACCGCCGTGCACTTGTTCACACTGTGGAGACAGTCAAGCCACTAGAGCCACGTGCTCAAAGCTGATTCGGGTCGGTGAAGGTTAAGGGCCAGTCCCAGATGGGTGCACAAAACTGCCCTTTTGATTCTTTACATCGTTTTGGGAGCACCACCTCTGATACGATGTTTCAAGTTTGACTCCCTACCCCCTTTTGAAAACAGGAGGCTGGACAGTCCCAGAGGCTTTTGGACAGCCCTTCAAGGCAAACATTTGAGGGGTTGTTCTTTTTGACTATTTCCTGGCAGAAACCTCCACTTTGCAGGCTCATTTGGATGTAATGCTGTGGACCCAGTTGGTTCAGGCAGCGGGCGCATACTACGACACGGTGGAAGCCCTTGTGCAGGAGGCAAGGCCGCGCAGTGATCAAGCGAGCAACTGCCAGACTTAGACTTGTGTGTGTGTGTCTGTGTGGCTAAAAGGGAATCGAAGGGATACCCTCTCAGCATATTGTTCCACTGTTTGTGTCTTAACTTCGGCCTTGCAATTAAGCAGAAACTAGCAAAGCTTCTGTGGGTCTAAGCATGGCCCAGGCTGGTTGGTTTTTGGTTTGGCCAAGCTGCCAAGCTTGTATCTCCTGATTGTCCAGTTTGTTCACACCCAAACCTCCATTTTTTTTATGACCAGGACAACCCGCAAAGAAAGCAAAGAGTTGGTCAAAGCCCCAGCGTTGGCAGTTGGCCGAAGCAGAAGCCATTTTGTTCTCCTACATCGGCGGTTGAAACTATCACCGGTTTGGCCTGTTAGTCTCTTGCTGGGTTGCTGCCGTGATTGTTTGCAGGTGGGACATACGGGTGCTTCTCAAAACGAGGTCCCCCGGTTTGCTTTTCATTGTTCAAGCCTGTGATAAACAAGCGTTTTGAATTCTGATTAGATACATCATTTTAGTGCCAGTGTCCATTTTGACTCAATTGGCCAGTTGTCACCTTGTCTATTCCAAAGGAAGCTGACCGGGGATGAGTTCGTTTTGTTCCAGACCACCCCTGATATTGACGGGCAGAAAGAAAAAAGGAAGCAGCAACACGTTCTTGGTCACCTGATTGAATCAGCATGGGCTGACTTGAAGTTTTGCTTAGCCAGGGCTGACTGAGCTGACTGCACGAGCCGACTTCAGCATTCCTTGCCGACTGCCTGGGCTGACTTGATGGATGGGATTGGGCTGAAGTCGTTTTGCTGCAAGTTTTGAGCTCCGCAGCCGGCAGGTCTATGGCTCCGGTTCCTCCGACGTGGACGAGGAGATGGCGGACCTCAGGCCGAGTTCACCGAATTCGTGGCCGATGGTTTAGTCGTTTCTTACAACAAATGGAGAGCGGTCTTTGGTGGGGATGTGTTTTTTGTGGATGGAAAGCAGGTGAAACAAAAACTGGATTTTTGTTTGGTGCTCTCAAAAGTAAGATTCGGTTCCCTACAATAGGTTTGTTTTCTTTGTTTGTTTCCCTTTGCACACGAACTCAAAGGCGGTCCTCCATTGTCAGAATCTCCCGTTTGCTCGGGTGAATCTGGGGCCTCCAAGACCCGACCTCTTTTTGTTGGGTGGGCTAAGAATGAACGGGATGGCACAACTCAAGCTCCTTAATTAGGAGCAATATTCCAAGGAGGCTCCAGGTCCCATCCGGATCCGAGCCTTCTCAAGATTGGGGGGCCGGGCTTGGGGATTTGGACTCAGCGGATTTTGTCCTGCAGGCGACTTAGGCGGGGGGTCAGGCTCTGGTTCTGATCAACTCTCCTTCAAACCTACGAGCATAGGCTGAGCGGAGCGTTGCTGGAGACGTCAGCTGTTGCCCAAGGCGTTTCGGGGACAGTCTCCGGCAGAGAGATCAGTGCGGCAAGAGCCGCCCTCATCATGGGTGTGGTACCAGGCTTTGTGGCTATCAGAAAGTGAAATTTCGAACCATTCGCGCAAACGTTCGCATATGAGATCCCCCAAAAACTCCACCTCACGGACATGTATTCGGGTGGAATAGGGGCTAACACCCTGTAAAACGAAGTCGACCCTTTGAAACGAAGCCTCAGAAATTCCTTTTTTGCACCTTGCATTCTGAGAGATAGCTCACATGGCCCAATGGAATAAGTGAGTGATCCTCAACTAATGTTATAGAAATGGTGCGTACCCTCGACAAAGGGTGTGCTCCTATACATGCCTCCGCAAGTCGCCTGCTACTTTTTGGCTATCTCCACAAGGGTACCTGATATGTGGGTGGATCTTTGTTTTTGAGGGCGTTGGGGTTATAAAGGGAACCCAAGAGGAGAGGAACACCTTCCAAAAAGGGAAAACCTTTTTGGGGTTCAGGGAAAACCATCCAAAAAGACACCATAACGTCGGACCTGCTTGAACCTGTGATTTGTTCGGCGCAAGAAGGACCAAGCCGCCACTTCGGTCCATCCCTTTGACAAGCAGACCAACCGGAATCTATGCTACAGGAACCTTTCCGTGTTTCCCTTGCTCCATCTCTGAGCGTCTTGTTACATTCGTTATTTGAAGGGATTCCTAAAGAAAGCCAATCATGGGGCCCCCTCACTTGCAATGCCATTTTGGGGAAGTCGCAAAAAAGGAGGGACCCCCAAAGGCGGGTGTTCTTTTGCTTTCCCTTTTAGACCCACGCTAGAATGGGTACTTGTCCGGTATCCTCCAAGAAAATGGTGCACACCTTTGGGGGGCAAACCACACCCGACCGCCTGACGAACGAACGAGCGTCAGGAATGCCTTTGGGGACTTGGATGGCGACAGCGTTGACGAGAGGCGCGCGCGCGCCTCCAGTGGGCGTTTTTTTTTTTTTTTTTTTTCTTTTTTTTTCTCGAGGCTCGGTGCCCTTTTCTCATGTCCTAAGTTCCCCGGACTTTGTTCTTTTTGCAAAGATCTTGGTACCCCCAGAAGGTGGTTTGGATTGGCGGGTGAATTTGAACCCTGGTTCTTGTTGAGGGTAGACGGGAAACCACAAATTAGAGGGAAGCTGACTTTTCGTCCTGGTTTGGGAAATTGAAAGCAAAACCACCATTCTGAGGGTTCTAGTTCTCCTGTTTGGGCTCATTCCTAGTTGGTGAGTAGTTGGGGGTCGGTTTTTCTAGGTATTTGGGGCCTCCCAACCCATTTTTCTACACTTCCGGGTCGAGAAACTATCTGAACATACCGTGAAAAATCCGCTTCGTTCGCACCAGCCGGAGTGTGTTTCATCCATCTCGATGGGCGGCGCGGCATCCTTGTGCACAGAGTTGTACATGGTTTAAAGGGAGCCAACGGGACCGTCACCCATTTTGAGAGTTCCAGTTCCCCAAATTATTTGGCACGTACGCTGTTGGTGAACTAGAGCTTTTTTAGCAGATCTGGGCCTTTTTTTTCCCATCCGGAAAATTTTGGCGACGGATGCATATGTAGGCTAATGAATAACTTGAACATTGAATGTCCTTCCCATGCTTTAGAGCGAGTTCGAGGCCTCCGGAGTCAAAACGGTCAATGACCGCTTGCTTAATTGTTTCATGCTGATGGTGCAGCATCAAGTGGGCCACCTTACAATCTGGGTCCTGGCAGGGCTTGATTGTGAGGCTGTGGCTTGCAATTCAAGGGAATATTGTTTACGTCAGGGGGGGTTCGTTTTACGTTTGGTTGATGCACTGAGGTCTTGTCCCGAAAAGTTGTTTGCTTGAAGGATGAGAACCCTTCACCGGGCCCGTTAGTGGTTCAACCGCAAGGATTCACCATGTTGCATTTGTTTAGTGCTGGAAAGTGCAACCAGGCTTGGCATCGGGAAAAAAAAGCCCACATTGAGCACAGAGATGCTTCTCGGTTTTCCTTGCCCATAGGCTTTCGAAAGAGGACGGCGCCGTTGAAACAAGCCTGGGTGTGGAGGGCCCCCGTGAAGGTCCTGGGTTACCTGATCTTCAGGTCGCTGCGGGTTAAAACCAATGGTACCGTTTTGAAGTGCAGGTTTAGTGTATTTTTGTGGGGATTGGGATGTTCACTGGGGGTGACCCATGGCCGGGTGAATTATCGCAATCTCCGCCGAGAAATAAACAAAAAAAACTCTCGCTAGGAGGCGCTCCTCGGGCGGAATGCTCCACGCCTTGAGCAACATGCGCCGAGCCCTTGGCGAGTCCGAGCCGAAAGTCCCCCCAAACCGGGGGCCCCTTTGAAGACCAGCAAACACAACACCTGTTCCAACAATCATGGATAGTGATATGCAGCCTTTCCTCTTCTTTTTTGGTTTCAAAGGCACATGGAGGGAGGGATCGTGTTGGTTCATGTGTTGCAGGCCACGTAAAAGCAAGCGGTTGTATTTTATGGCGAGCTCACCTGGAGGTAAAACCAGCTCACCATGATGTAGCCCTTAACTTGGAGGAACCATTTCAAGTGTCAGGTGTGTGAATGGTAGCAATGACAGATTTGCTTGTTGGGTTGGCTCAGTTGGACATTCCGTTTTTTTGACTGCCCCATACCTTTGACTAACTCCCAGGGGATTCCCTTGGGAAAAATCAACCACCCCCGGGTTTCAGTCCACTGGGTTGTGAAACAAAAAATGGAACCCGGCCCTGCAGTTGCCCATTCGAGGACAAGCCATCCTGGAGAACTGCCTGATGCCTCAAACGAGGACGGGTTGCGCTGAGAAACCAAATGATCGGATTTCTTCAGGGCAACCTACTTCCAAGCAGGTTTAAACAGCTTGCCCTCCTACAGGTTTAATTCCCACAAAAAAAGTCACAATTTGTGGAGGCGATTCCTTTTGAGGGACCCCCCGGTTTGGGTTCAATGTTAAATTGTAGTTGTTGCTTCTGGATTTCACTGATTAGTTGTTGCGTCCGCGCGAATTGACTTTGGGAAGCCAAGGGAGGACTGGTCTACAGCGTGTACTGCCTTCAAAATCAGAAGAACTATGTTACTGCATGAGATCGGGGATCACGGTTGGTAATGTAATGTGTTTCTTTCCTGCGTGTGCTGTGTTGCCCCCTTCCCGACCCTGATGGGATCTCGGATGGAAATAAGGGCACTGCAAGGAACCGGCCAAAACGCACAAGCAAATAAACATGAGAAACTAGCACACGGAGAAGCTAGTTGTGGTCCACCCATTTGCCGCAAAATCTCCAAACCTACGCTGCATGTATCCGTCGTACCCATCGGTTATGCTAACTGACTATTGCTCGCATGTAGGCTTCTGTTCTTGTTCGCCCAACCTTGTGCACACCCTTTTTAAAATTATTTTTAGGCTTGGACCTGTCCGCTTTGGTGTGCGGGCTGCCCATGCTTTACAGCGGCACTGCTCGTTCTTGTGTGTTGCCTGTCTGCAAACCTCCCCCAACAGGTTTGATGAGAACCGTTCGATCACGCCTTCAAAGAGGCTTGGGCCTTTGCCTTTCTGGGCTTGCAGAATCAGACCGTGGACAGCCATCAACATGTTTGTTTCTCACCTCTTCTTCCAGCCGTGGAGATGTGGCTGTTAAAAGATGCTACTTTCAGAACCTTTCAGGTGATGCAACAGCCACGTGGAAGGCGTGTTTGTCCACTGTCATGGCTGGAGGGGCGGTTTCCCTTGCAGACCTCACATGCTGCAAGCATCTCCGCGGGAAGATGTTGAAAGAATCTAAGAAGCACGAACACATTCTTCCAACGGAAGCGAAAAGGAGACATACATTCTTTGTTGCTTTTCCATACCCCATATGTAGCAAGCAGATTAGGGAGGGTGATTTCCTCGTTTTGACAGTTACGAGCAAGTTGCCAGACTTCGCTTCGTCCTCAGAAGGCCCCGACTTTCGTCGCAGGAGGAGGACCTCTAAAGTCATATAAGTTGAATGCGAACACTTGCATTTGCATTTGTGCATGCAAATTCGACCATCCATTATTTTCTCCAACGCTTGGGTGTGTGTCAAAAGGAGCAGCTGACGAGTTCCAAAAGGAAGCTGGAGGTATTGTGACACACGGCCAGTTGTGCGTTGGAGCTCAAATCTGTGCAAGAAGAAGTTGCCGGATCGATGCATGTCTTGCTTACAGCGGCTTTCCAAGTCGAGATGAACAAAAGGTGGCCAATATGCACATGGATGAGTTAGGAACCTCTCCAAATTCATCAACCTCATTTATCCCTTTCCTTTAAAGCCAGGTTGCATGATGGAACGTCGCTATTCACTTATTTGCCGGCGTCGACGCGGTCACGACCGCATAGACTGGGCCATTTGAGCATGTGGATGACACCTTGCCCGAGGGAGGCTTAGCTGCTCTTTGGTTTGAGCCAGCGTCTCACTTTCTGACTTTATACTGGTTGGGCTTGGACCATTCAAATGGCAAGCCAACAGTTTGGATTTGTTTGGCCGATCCGCTCTGTGTCCACGTTCTGATGTGCTGGGAGATGTCGAAAGTACACTCCCACTAGTTGGGGGCCAGCTTGAATCTTGGGTTCGATCGATGTTTCATTCATTACCTGGTTGAAGAATGACACATGGGTGCGTTTGTTTAAAAGGAACCCACTTGTTGGTTAGTTTTACTGGGCAACCAAAATGACAATCATATTTGTTTGGGGTGTCCTACAAGGGAACCACATTTGTAGAGGTTCAGGTCCGCCCCGCACTGAGAGAGGGTCTGCCTCAGTCATCCCAAAGGATGCGTTGTTTTACCAAACCCTGGCTTTGACACCCTACAGAACCCTGAGCAAGGTCATCCACTGTAGGATTTTTTCTTGCTTGATACTCCCTGAGAATCAGGCACTCCGACTCCCTCGTGGGCTCGTCGATTCATGGGCTGGCTGGAAAGGAAGCGAGGAAACCCAAAGCAAAGCCTCTGAAAGAGTTGAGAAACGCCCAGAGGGAACATTCGCTAATTGGCTCGAGCCTTGTACTCGGCCAAGCTGAGTGTGAGAAAAATCGGAGCCGCGTGCGTGGACGCGGGCAGTGGCCCGTATTTCAGTGATGGCCTAAAAACTTCTCCCGGAAGGATGTTGTTGCCTGCCACTTGGATCGAACATTTGTTGGCTTCGCTTGAAGAGCCCTTTGGATGGGCTTGCATCGGAGATGGCTCAAGCGTTTGGCTGGGAAATGCAAGCAGGCCTAATTCGAGCTCGTTTGGCTGCATGCATGCCTGCGGGGCAATTGGGGGCCCATTTGTTTTGCACCAAACACACGGGGTGAAACAATGGTCAGGTTCTCATCATTCTTGTCCTATGATGATGAGGTGCTTTGGCTTACGCAATCGTGCAACAAAAGCAACAAAAGCACAGAATGATAGAGGAATTTCTCAAAATGGTGGGGGCCCCAATCCCCCTCTTTTACTTAGCATTTCAAGGGCGCAAGGAAACCATGCACTGCAGGGATCCCTATGTTTGAGACACCAACCCCTATTTCGGCCCCCTGGGCCCCCAGTTGCCCCATGGCACCCCACCACAGCCCGCCGAAAGGCCGGGCCGAAGTTTCGCACTCGACCAAAACGGTGCGGAGGGGTGGCGCGGCCGGGTCCAAACTGAGGGATTTGCCTCGGGAGCTGTTGGATTCCCTCCCACCAAACATGGAGCCTGACGTTCGGGACCCGGTCCTTTGAAAAGGAACATGTACCCTGGGCTCTCGTTCGCTGGTTTCCGGCTCCTCGTCTTTGCTGCTTCAGGAATCTTCTATTCTGTTTCCTCAATTCCTCGGCATGTCAACGGTTGCTCTTACCCGGAAGTCACGGGAAGTTTCGCCCAGCCCTGAGTTCCAAAGCACAGCGCAGCTCGTCAGTCCTGTGCTTTTCGGGCGCCCCTATGCTGAGCGCGCTGAGGATACCGCTGACACCATCGAGCGGTGGTTCAAGGCGGGTGTCCGTTATTGTCCGTTCAGTCACTCCCACAGAAATTTATACTAGCAATCAGGGTCGATGCAAAACTTGCTTAAGCAATCAACACCTAGTTTCATTGAAAGGGAGCCCCAAAGGAGGTTGTTTAAACAATAAATGCTTAAACCTGATCGACAACCGACTGGCCCAACCTTGAACTCTGCAATAGCCCCCCCCGGCAAGGCAGTAGTCTTCAGTGTTTCCCCAGGGTCCCGCAGTTGCCATTTCAGTTCAACCATCCGAAGCGGGCGAGTCATTTTCCGCGAGAAACTGGTGGCACAAAGGCCTAGCTCTAAGCACCAGGTTGGCTGATGCCAATGCTGAGGCGGAGGATTCAAATCGAGTTGTTCAGGTCCCAGAACCGCATGAGTGGCGATCGAAATGCCCCAAACGCTCATAATATACAAGTCCAACTCTGAAGGAGTCGCCTGCCCGGGGTGGGGGGGGGAGTCTTGAAAAATGATTGCCTTCACGTTTGCGGTGATGTGCCGGGTTGTTCCCTTTTCAGTGTGGGGAAATGGTCACGGCTGGTGATTGTTTTGTTGTTTGCTTTGAATTGTGCCTATCTTTCTGGTACCCCCAAGAAAACTGGGAGGTTGGGTTGGCCAGCTTGCAGCTCTCAAGTTTTCCAGTGCCTGAACCTGTTGGGCTCCCTGCTAGGGGACCGACCGCTGGTTTGGATAGCCAAAGCAAGGGGATCTAAGAATCTAAGCACAACCCAAGAAGCGGTTGGCTTTCTGCCACCAGCAAAGAGCGTAGTTTTGAGGATGTCAATTTTATGGACCCGGGGTTGGCAATTCCCCCTCAACATGTGGTTTTACCGCCAGAAGCCTACCGTTTCGAGTGTTTTCCTTCATTGTCCCTTTCAGGCATGACCTGAGGGCAATCCAACGGCAGTCTCCTGGCGAGGCTATTGTTTGAGCGGGGAGAGGTAGGGAGGGAGTCCAAAGTGAATAATTGTAGGGCTCCCTTTTGGGGGTGCCATTTCCATGAAATCCACATTAGGCTCATTTCGAGGATATCACTTGAACCCGAGGAACACGCACAGAATTCCATCCGGAGCTTAGGCTTCCCTCTTAAATCTGGCAAGCCCCTTAGTACCAACCCGTGGGCGGACCATTGATGCTTTTTTTGAGAGTGGGCTTCCGGATTAGTCAGCCCTAAGTAACAAATTGGGGCCTAGCCCATTTTATGACAGAACCGGATCACTTTTTTGGGTGAGCTGCAACCCCCCCTACACAACAATTCACAGGACGATGATTCCGCCTGCATGGACATGTAACATATGCAACTTAGTTACAACTGTGTATTCTGGTAAAATAAACGTCGCAGTATGCAAGGCTTGACCCATCAGCACGTCAGTATGAGTGCACCGGGAGAACGGTGACCCCGGTCCGGTGGCATCCGACAGGTACAGCAGATGTGGACGTCTCTGGAATCCGTGTTCACAGGCACGACCGGGCGACCCGGGCAAAAAGGACCAGCGCCCCCAACTCAAAGAGATGCCAAGCATGACAAGTTGGGTGATTTGGAACCCATGGTTCCCCACTAGAAATGGTCGACCTCGAAAAGGCTGGTGAGCAACGTTGGGAAAACACCAAGCAGCAGGGCAACTTGACCACCGGGGGAAAAAACTGCACAATTCATCCACCAATTGATTCATATGTGTGGGTCTTGCGCTGCCTGCATTTGACATTCATGTGGTGTTAGGTTGGAGTTGATTCTGGGAGGCTGGTGAAGAGGGATATGTCAGCAAGGATGTTCAGAGCAACCAGAGGGTCCGAATTCGGGTCCCTTCACATTTCGGGAAACACGGTATGTAAGCACAGGCTATGGGACTGCTTGGCGTACTTTTTGGGGTGGTGCAGAGGAAAGGACAAAATGCAGCCGCGGCCTGGTTTTTTTAGGCGCGTCCGTAACCCGTTTTGAGCGACTCGGGGCTACTGGGATCCCTGATCTTGTATAGGTGAATCTGGCTGGGTCCCTTTCGATTATGAGTGATGCCGGTCTTTGCCTTGCGCTGTCAAGGGCGGCTCATCCAATGCTCGGTTAATTGCTGCATGCCCAATACTTGCCCGCCTGTCCTGGAAACGCGCAGTGCAGAAGGTGTGTCAGTTGCGAGTCACTCACTCCACGCGGGAGCCCTGACGATGTGGTGGAAGTCGGCCGAGGCCGGCAGAGTATACGAAGCCAGTTTGAATAGCTTCCGCTTAGGCTCATGACGTCTGTACAGGCGGTTTTTCACAATGCTGACATGCGTGGGAGGCCCCACAGTTACAAGCCCCTACTGGGGATCCCTGAGGTTCAGAAGGCTTGGGCAGTACTGCTCGAAAAGATAGCCGAGTAAAGAGCCCAATGACACAATGGATCGAGCAACACGGCCAAGCTGGACTGCGTTTGACCACACATGTGCGGATCGGTCAACGTAGCCCATGGTCCATTTGGAAGAGACATGGGGACGAGCTCTAAATTTCAACCACGTGAACCTAGGGGGTGAGCCGGAACACAATGTTCAAAGCCTGGACTGGCCAATCCACTCAGGAAGTGAGCATTCTTGTTTTGAGGGACACTTGTTTCAGCGTTGAAGGGAAACCGCCATGAAAACCCGCCGTTGGGGTCCTCGGCTTCGACACAAACATCCGAACCCACTCCAATCGGAGAAGAGGCAACCGTGTTGATACCTCTTTTGTGTGTTGTTCGGTACAATGGACGTCATCCCGCCCAAACAGGGTACCTCATTGTCCTGTTCAGCACCCATACCCAACAAACACTGTGAAAACGGGGAAGTGTTTGTTTCAGTCAACTCGGGCTGCCCCTTTCTCGGTTTCCCTCCTAATCTAGGTCCCCCAGTAGTGCCCTTTTACCATTTTTTTTGGGAGCGTTCAGAGACAAAATAGACTACAGAAAAAAATCGGGCACCCTTATTCTAACCTCTCTGGAGGACCATAGTAACCGGGCAAACAGCCCCCAGTCAGGCGGCGACATCGCTAAGCAGATGCCCATGGAGGCGAAGAAGTTCGGGCAGATCGACAAGGAGCCCACGGGATCGGCTTCGGCTTCGGGTCCGCTTTCTGCTTAGTGG